AGGTTTATTGGATGCATCGAGTTCAGCGTATTCACACACCAAAATCTGAACTGACCTGAGCTACGCCCAGGGCAGTGATTTTATACCTTTAATCAAACTTCGTCAATCAGAAGGCGTTTAAAGAGGCGTATTCATACAAAACGTAAAAGCCCTTGTTCAGAACAGGGAAGTACATCTTGGAAAAATACAAAAGCAGATATTCATACAAAAGTATCAAAAAACAGGAAAGCTGATTTCGTACCAACAGTTTTCTGCAACTTCTCTGTTCTATCTCTCCCCCACGTCTGGCTTGCTGTGTCCCTCCTTTTCAGAGTCTTGCCACACTATTCAGCCCTATTTGTAATACTTATGAGGAAGTTGGAGAGAAGAGTTCACTCCAGCTAAAAGTCAACTTTGGGACTCTAGGGCACTAGAATAAAAGCCAAACTAAAATGAATTTATAAGGTCCATTCTATTAAGACCACCTAACCTGGCCAGCCACTGGTGGGTTTACCTGTGCAATCCCTGCTGCATCACTAGAGATAATTTTCTATGCTAGTACTCTGCAGGTATCTTGGTCTGCCTCTTTAGCCGATTCATCTAGCAAATCAGGATCTGGGCTCTCTATAAATTTTTTATTTTATTCTTTTATAAACAATCCCATTTTCAATTAACCAGTGTGTCGTCTGGGTATAAATATTTTCTGCCAACATTAAAACATGCATTCTTATTCATTCTTTAATCTCATTTTAGCTTAATTTCCAATACCTTAAGTATCTGATATTACAACAATCCCATTGTAATTTATTTAACTCTATTAGTTATATTGGCTATTAATACACTTTCTATACTTTAGATAACTTCTACCTATTAATTCTTATGTCTATTCTCTAACCACCGGTAGAAAGATTCCCAAATTGTATAATAATTGGTTTCTTCTTTCTCTTTGATAGAGACAGTGTCAATCTGTTCATTTCTGCACATTCTAATATTTTCCTAATCGCATTCTCCTCTTTGCTTCTCCAATTTTGTGCAAACACCATCCTAGCTACTGTTATAACACTAATAATCAAATATACATTTTCTGCACTATAATTTTCTGGTAAAATCCCCAGCAAAAATATTTCAGGTTTTAAGTCAATTATGTTGTTTTGTTCTCTTTTCCAGCCACGTATTATTTTAGTCCATTATTCTTTTGCTTCTGCGCAGCTCCACCACATATGATGGTATGAGCCCAGTCCCTGGTAGCATTTCCAACATTTAGTTGATTTAGGAAATCAGGATCTGATTAAGGGCAGCATACAAATTAAATAAACATTCCAAGTGCGAATAAACTCATTTTGTCTTTAAAAAACCTCAATTAAAAAACCTCCTGTCATGGCTGAAACATAGCTTGCAGGGAAAACCTCATTCACAGCCCAGACAAGAAGCAATGGTGGGAGGGAATGATTGGACTGTAAGGGGGAATGTGGGGAGGGGGACCAAAAGGAATGCAAGAACGCCCACTGGAAGCTTGCAACTATGTCAACACCTGAAGGTTAACCAGCTGTTCGTCTGCCTCGAAGGAAGCTGATAACTGACATATGGCCTTGCCCCCCTTCTCTGCCTCCGACACAGAGCCCTCGTCCAAGCCTTCCCCAGACTCCAGGACTGGCCCATGTTCCTCCCCAACCTCCTCACTGTCTGAATCTGCTGCCAGCTCAGGCCACAAGTCCTTGAGTGTTTTCATTTTTCTGGTCTTTAACAATAGCAGTTAAGACTTATATACAGCTTCATAGGGCTTTCAGCCCTCTCTAAGCGGTTCACAGAGTCAGCATATCGCCCCCAACAGTCTGGGTCCTCATTTCACCCACCTCGGAAGGAT